GGAAAATACGTGTCTATCCGGTTTACAGTGTCGCGTAATTCGATTTTTAGAGAACAATCACAAGTATCTTTCGTACGTAATAAGAATGTAAAAACCGAGGTAACCTTTGGCCATAGCCACAATTTTAGAGATATAACGATACTATACTATATTTACAGATTCATCAAGAATACATATTTTCGGTAATACATATAGATGAATATTTGTTTCCCAAAGTGCTACACGTATTTTGAAGTAATATACGCGCGATGCGTATGGGTGATAAAAATACGTGACTTTGACAAACGAGGCGGAATAAAAATAAGCGGAAACAATTTTTCTGTTAATCCGGACGAATAACGCAGTGGTATCTAGCTGAAAATCGCCGCAACAAATTTTGCGCGTGAGTCAGCCGAATAACACTCCGGAATTAATGCTGTAAATCAATCAAAAATATAATTTCCGACGTATGTTCGGCTGAAAACGCAAATATTTTGTACTAGGAGAAAGGATAAATCTCTAGTTGTACCATTGACTATCTAGTTGTACTATAAAATTGAATTGATACAAACAATGCAGTAGTATACTAATCAATATGGTAAATTAATTGCTAAATGTGTATATATTTTTTGTTCTTCAAAGTGCTACATGTTTATACGACATACGTATACTGAGAAAAAAAAAATTGTTCAATTGACTAAATTAATTTAATCCGTCGCGCGTTATTTCTCTTGATGAAGAATATATGTATTTAAGTCAATACACATATTATATTTGACTTAAATACATAAATTCTCCAACGAAAGGAACAAAGGTAAATACTAGACTAATTTAGTCAAGTGAACAATTAATTAGACAAACGCACGATTTTTTCTCAGCGTATAATAATGTATAAAATTTCGAAATATTTAAAATAATTGTTGATTTGAAATACCTGCTATACAGTCCATTTCAACGTACCTAAATTTAATGTAAACTGTACTTGAAAATTGTTCGTCGAAGGAATGGTGTTCATAGTAAGAATAACAGAATTCCAGGTCCAGCGCGCTCGGTGGAAATATTCCTCTTCGGCGCCGGACAAACGCGCCTGGCAGAAGTGCCATTTCGCTATTTCGACAATAGGGTATGTTTGCGCAACGAAATGGCAGAAGTGTGTAAATGACAGTCGCGTATCATTGAGTCGGAAAAAAGGGGGGAAGCGCGGGGTGTGGTGGTCGGGCCCATTCGGTCGCCAATTTCGATTCTCCATTATCGATCGGATGTAAAAATATATATACATTTTTTTCTAATTTAACACGTTAAAAAGAAAGAATCGAACTAAGCGATACAATTGAATACTGTGTAAAATTGTGAACGTATTTCCTATATATAATAAATAGCAAACGTCTCACGTCTAGAGGGATAAATGAAATTTTATTTTTTTCAATCGTATAAAAAAATTAACATTAGACGCGATATTGGTATTAGAGGCACACATGATTTTATTCTGCTTAAACTATTAAAACTTAACGATACTTATCGCAAAGCTTCGACGAGTATTTGTATTAAATGCCAATAAGGGACGTCGGTATGCGAAATAAAGCCTGAAACAAGGTCAAATGGGTGATCTTCGTCGAATTGGTAATGTATTATAATCCTGAGCTCTGACATCCAGCAACTCAGGATATTGCTACTCCGAATTCGTTGATGCGTAATGCATTCGCGCTGGGATTTCGGTAGCGCGGGGGATGAAGCGCACTACGGTACTCCGTACGTACAGACGGAGTGCAGGGGTGAGCGTAGGGTGAAGAGTGCTAACTCTATGCGACTTGGCCGAGCATAGCGACGGTGTCAAGCGTACTGTAAATTCGCTCAAACGATGCGCGAATAAGCGCGAATAAAAGTAAACACGAGAATTTCGATGGAACTCTGCGCGGTTCTCTACGTTTCAGCAAAGGTAAACCCACGATTATGCAAGTTATTTGAAAATAATCACTTCAATAATAAAATTATAGAAGTCAAATAATGTGAAATAGTGTGAAAATGAAAGTTTTTTATAAAAAAATAAAAGTTTTAGATAAAAAGAAAAACAGCGGAATATGATAAAGATGTAAAAGTAAAAACTGAGTAAATTGTCAAATTATTGAAATGTTATGACAAGTATGTTATCTTTATATTAATGTACACACATATTGAATACGTATACTGTAAAAACATCACTGCAGTGAATTTTGAGAGTGGCAATTATTTTTTTTTCTCTTTTTTTTTTCGGTAACGACATAATGTTGACATTTCTATATGATTCCTGAAAAAAACTTTATGACTATTTGAAATTGCTAAAAATGTCGCGCCGACATCCATTATTAGCGGCCGTGTAAAATCCGTGCATTGGTTTTCTGTAAAGCTGAATTTTTTAATAACCGATTGCAGCTCTGTTGACTGGAGACCATTTACCGATATTCAATATGTTATGAACATGCCAGTGAAATGTATTCGTGCTGTGCTTCGGCGAAGTACCCCCGTTTGCGCGTATTTATACGTGGAGTAGAATTTCTAAAAATAATTTATGTTTACCTACAGAAATTCAATATTCCCGAGAAGAAGATACGTATATACGCCGTGGTACAAAATGGCAGTCCGCGGTCGCATCTAGTATATTTACATAAAAATACGCTTTTATACAAGGATGTATATCGGCTATACTCGATAAGAGAGACGAGGTAAAGGCAAAATATCTCTAAAATAAATACAGCGCACTCAATCAATTTAGTTATTGATCTATTAGCACAAAAGACTTCAACAATTACTTCAATGAAAAACAGCACGACTTATTACGTATATAATTGCCTTTTATCAATATATAAATTAAAAAATTATAAAATTTCTTCTTTATTTAACCCTCAGTATTCACAAAGGGTTAAACCCCCCTCCGCGATTTTCATAAAGTTATTAGTTCACGTTTTTTTTCCGATCCCTTTTCACTTATTGCAAAATATCTTTTGTGCTACGACATTTTAGACTTTCTAACTCAAAAATTCTTTTTCTTTTTCAGTTTTCAAACGATTAACAAAAAAAATTAGTTAAAATCGATACATTACAATCTGAGATATTAGCAAAAGAAAACGCTGGGTTACAAATATTCGGGACTTTTTTGAGATGTGGGTACTGAGGGTTAACGATATCTACGATTTTTTAACAATTTCCAATAATTTAATAAAAATGAAGATATGAAAAATATTTAACACGCAATACGTAATAAGTAATAGTAAATGATCAAATCTAAGTTTTCTGATAAATAGAATATCGCGCGTGCACAACGCTAAATTTTTAATACTTTTTTACCGAAGTATTTTATTTTTCTAGGTAGTTCCATCCACGAATACAGCAGAAGCTCCTAGGGGGGGCGTTACTTCTGTGAGTGTACAATGTATCTCGCCATGTCAGAGTCAACACCGGATTTCTTCTAGCGTCGTTTAAAGCTAGCCCTATGCCGGGTGAGTACGTGGAGGATAATAGACAATGTTGAAGCTTGCCACTTAACAGAATGGGAACAAGAACAGCCGCTCTGCCTATTTCTACTTGCGCCCCTATCCCAGCCTGATCAAATACTCGGCTCCAATCCCGCGGTTCCCATTACTATTGCCACTCTTGTCATCGCTGTCGTTGACAGCACTATTATTGTTAAAGATCCTTTTTCTCGGGTTCGTAAGAAACTTCACAAGCTTAAAAATTAATAAAATTAGAGGACTGCGCTGTTAGATTATCAACGGAGCAACGGCAATCCAATTCCTTGAGTTAAATAACAGTTTAATAGTTATTTTTAACTTCCATATGTATAAATTCATTTCTATAGTTAGTTTCAAAGTAAATATAATTAACGTATGTACTTAAATTTCAGTCAAATTTAATACATTTTCTTGAGTTAAATTGTTTAACTCCACAGTTTATTAAATTAACGACATATAGAGTAGGAACCGTGGTGACCTATAGAAATGATAGAAAATAATTCAAATTGAGTATAATTTGACGTTATAAATTTAACAGTGTGCGACCCTCCGACGGACATTTATTTGTAAATCATCTCATAGAAATTACGATTTATTCTGATCGTAAAGTAACAACCTTTTCGGGCTGATCGGCTATTCAGTTTCACGTCATCGGCGAGCAGCGTAGCATTTAACGCTCTCCGAAGAGTAAATTAAAGGATGCGCGCCTTGGGAATGAATACACGTTACGAGCGGAAGGCTTCGGAAATGAATCACTGACCAACACCCGGCGATGCCAGCTGATACTTCAAGTGCATCTGCTGTCTATTTGATGCTAAATCGCCAAACTAGTATTTATCTTAAATTTATGACGCGACACGATTTGAAACAAGCTTTCAGACGTGATGACAATCATTTCAGTAGAACGTAAAATGAGCCAATATCAACGTAGATCTCTTAATGTGAGTTCAAGTTCGCGTAAATAGGAAGCAAAGTCAAATGTGCTAAAATTATAGAATAAAACTGTTTGTTTTTATAATAAAAATAGTAGGTGTAATTTTTGAAATACGGCAAATAAGAACAGGAGAGTCTATTTTAGCAAGATATGAAAAACTTAATTTCCACCGGTTTGAAAATATACCGCTCAAATCTGATGCCATTTGAAAAAAGGGCGCGGTTAATGAATGCAGGTAAAATCCGTAGGGGATATTATTCTCTTTGTATAGAAAACATTCGTGTTATAGAAAAACGTTGGTGCGCTTCAATTTTTGTCGTCGTTAAAATTGTATGCTCGTGCGCTTTTAAAATAAAACGGATGCGTGCATTATACAATCGATCCGATAATTAATAATAATTGGAAAGTGAGAAGAGGACTTATTGCTTACGCGCTTGTAACGTTACAACAAGATAAAATACAATGTCATCATAATTAATTCGACAGCGTACATTGTCGGTAATAATTTAAATCATTATTTATGCGCGCGAACGATACCACCTGCCATTCGTGAATTTGATGTAATATTTAATTGGCAATTTGCATGTCTGAATTCCAATATGAAAAGAAGTTAATTAAATACGAGCCGTACACGCAGGTTGCGTTTCCTACGTTAAATATGTACAATACTTTTGGAAAAAAAGAAGGAGAATTCCTTCATCTTCAAAAAGATTCATCGATAAAGCAAGTAATTCTTCTCGCTTCGGCGATTCAAAATAAGAATCACGCTAGATTCGCGAAAAAATTCTGATTAAATACTACATGTATAATACGTTGAAAAAAATATACTCTAACTAAATCTTAATAAATATTTATTTGAATAGTGCCAACTAAAAATTTTATACTTACAGTAAATAAATATTTATTCGATAAAAACATGATTGTTAAATTAACTTGATAGTTCTTGTTTCAATTTTACTTTTATATATTTAGTAAATATATATTTAGCTGGTATTCAAACAAATTATTTACTAAAATTTAGAACGTCTTTTTTTTCAGAGTGTATGTAAAAAAACTCTTCTAACCACATCTTTTTCTGACCATTACTTAGAAACGAATTTTCATAATAAATACGTTAATAAAAACGAATGAAATTCGCGCCTTCCCTATAGTTTCCATTTGCGCAAGATTCAAACCAGAATTCTACGTAAAGTTCAATCGAAGTTAACAAAGCATGAGGAATCGTGCGTGTTCTACGGGGACTATATAATCCTTTATGAAAAAACCAATCCCTCCTTCACAATTTCATTTGGAAAAAGAAGTCTTTCCGCGTGCCTACGTTTACGGAAACTCCACTCCTCTTCTCATCCTCCAATACGATTTCAAAGTTTATATGTGTAATTTTTCAACACCCTGTGTACGAGCACGCTAAACCGATTCGCGGTGTATCGACCAATCCCGCGAGCAACACGTAGAAAAAAGGAACGTAACGAGAATACGAAGAATAGCAAACGACTGGGCGTGTTGCGCGTAGGTCGCCGATAGCTCGGCACAAAGAGAGAGAGAGAGAGAGAGAGGGGGGGGAGGGGGAGAGGAACGGAGGGATGAGTAGAGTTCGTACGGAAGAGGGTTGGGAGGATACGCGGGGGGAAGGAGAGGGGTACATATCGGCCGAGGGTGAATTTGGACGGGAGAAACAGAGAGGGTGCGAGGAGGAGAGAACGAGACGAAGGGGAGGAGAGCAGTCCATTAGCAGATTACGTACCCAACCCGCCTCGCTCATTCACCCCCGCGATGTTTTTTCTTCTTCTCCCCCTTTCTTCCGCGACCGCCGATGATCTTGCCGGTCTACGCCGTACCCACCCTCGCGCTTTCAGGCTCGTCCAAAGCCGCCTTCGCCGAGGACGAACGTGGCAGGTGCCCGCGTGCGACTTCGGCACCCCTTTGAATCGCCGCCAAAAACGTACGTTATCGGTTTTCGGTCGCCGACGTCGCGCCGATTTCATCGATTATACCTTATAAAGAGTTTCCTTTCTCCACGATCTCGTTCCCTTAACGAGAAGAGTCGCGAAATCCTCCGATCGCGATTCCGAGAAAATCCGTGCATTAAGCTTCTTCTTCTCTTTCATGATTTTACCCGACTTCGAATGGCCGAATTCTTCGAATAATGGAGCCGGTTAATATCGTACGCGTTATAATTTCCGAATAAAGCTGCTAAAAAGAAATGAGAAATGTTGTGTGTATCATACGTATTATTGGAGAATTTATGGGAGAATCTTATTTAACGTGTACCGAAGTTCATTGCGTCTATTCTATAATAGCCGTAAGCCGCAACAATTGATCAATCATTGATCAACCGTAAACGTGTGTTCGATGCACGACACAAAAAATTCCACGTAATGCCTGTTCTATTATGATAAAAAGTACAAGATGTTTCGCTTTTTGATCAATGAGATTTGACCAATCAGAAAATTAGCCCAAACTGTCACAAGCCAATATATTTGCAGAGTCGTTATTAGAAATTTACCACCAATAAGAAATTTACCTCAAATTATACTCAATCGCCATTTTAAGCGTAACGAAATACTTTGTATTTTTACATCACGTATTCAACAATAACCGTAAGCTATGAAAATTAATCAATCGATTACTTTCTTCATATTCGACTACAATTGACGTCAATTTTATGGTTTATGGCTATTATAGAATTGATATTAAACGAAATTCTATCACGCATCGACATTTGTTGCTATTTTCTTTTCGCGATTCGTGTCGCGCGCCGAATCTATTTGCATGAAATCGATAAGGTGGAGAACGAGGAGGCCACGGGGATGAGGAAGAAGTCCGAAAATGCCCACGGGAAAACGTCGGTGTGCGTTTATGCGAGATACTTTCGCGAGAGAGCGAGCCTTTGGCGTCAGCCGGTACGAGAAAAAAGAGAGAGAGAGGGAGAGGAAGAGGGAGAGGGAGGGAGGGAGGGGGAGAGAGAGAGAGAGAGAGAGAGAGAGAGAGAGAGAGAGAGAGAGGGAGAGGAAGGGAAGGATGCTCTTTAGGACGGCGAAACTAAATTATCAGATCAAACAGCAGCACCGTTATATTAATAAAATAGATTTTGCCCGCCGCTCTTCAAAAGGGAAGAGACCGGCGCGCCGTCGTTTCGCGTCTAACCTCGTTTCGCGCAACTCCCGATTTAATCA